GAGAGAGAGAGAGAGAGAGAGAGAGAGAGAGAGAGAGAAAGAGGGGAAAGTGAGAGGAGGAAAAGAGAGAAAGAGATTGCGTGTGGGAGAGACGACCTTGTTTGCAGGAAAAAATAGTAGAGGAGCTAAAGTGCCCGACAGAGAGAGAGAGAGAGACGTGCCCTTCTTTGGTCTGTGTGAAACAACTTGAATTTTCCAAGAATTATATTTTTTCCAGGACGATGTGCCATTTCGAAACCAATTTTTTAAAGTAATCGGAATTGTATTTGCTTTTTTTAAAAAATTGTTCCCGTTGGTTTTTATTACATTTCCTTTCTGGCCTCCCTTTCTCAGATTTTGACACTTACACAATTCTAAAACGTTTCTAAAAACGTTGCGGGAAAAGTCTAAAAGATATCTTCAGGGCGGTACTTTATTCGATTGCTAGATGCTAAAATATAGATCTGTTAGCAGTGGTAAAGGTTATTAAAAGTTTGTGTACGTAACATATCACATATTATAAAATGTCATGTGCAAATGAAGTACATTCATTCTCTTAACATTTTTATCGGAATCATGCTTGCATAGATTTTTAGAATGTCTAACCATGTTCTTTGTTCACTGACATTATTGTGTTGGACTTTGTGCGTGAGAGAGTGAAGTGTGATTTTTTTTTAATACTTTTTTTTAAAACGTCTTCATGCAATGTACAATCATGACATGAGCTCGTCATGATGAATTATTGTGTGTGTACATTTCAAACAGTCGTCTCTGGGTCTTCTCGGTAAAAAAAAAAGAAAAAGGTCAGCAGGGGGTACTGAAGTACTAAGTTGTTCGGGGGTTTTTTTTCCGGGATTCATCCCTATCTCACTGGCCCGCTTATACATATATATATTATATCAATTGCCCTCCTTGATTGTTGTGTCGGATTTTTTGTTTACTTGTTTAGTAAAATGTGTTTATTTGTGGTGGTTTCTTGTTATTTTCTGTGGGTGTGTTTGTTTGTTTGTTTTGTTTGTTTGTTAGATCTACTTTTCAAGGGTAGGGTACTTTCAGATTTTGTGGGGGGGGGGG